TGCGGACAACAAGTAATTTTTCTATGGCATTATGTGCTCCACTGAAATGAAGTTAACTTAAAGCTTTTAATTTGACCGACTTTTGATTTTTCATAGTTCTGAATGTGTGAATTGAATTGGTTCTTGAGTGAGGTTACCTTTTGATTCTTTTCTACCCTCCCAAACAACTTCTATGTCGTGATTTGGCTTAGACATTGTGTGGCAGTTTTTCTACATACCGTAGTGAATTGGTTCGTAATTTTCATTTTGCTTTGCCAAGTGTGAATTAGTTACCAACTTGATGAAAATTATGCTTCGTTCCTTGTAAATGTTGGATGCATGTAAATGATATTTGGAGAAGCTACTGTCAGAGAAGTATGCAATTGGTTGTGCTCATTGCTAACTTCTCTTTATTTAGCAAAGGAAGGAAAATCAGATGGTATGCATTCATTGTTTACTGTATTTTTGTTTTTGGTTGATATAATTGGAAGTTTTTGGTTGACACACTCTATCCTTAATTAATTTTGTTAGATTTTACGGTACAAGTTGTATATTGACCCTTGGAAGGAGCAACTTGGTCATGTAAACAAAGATTTTGGAGTCCCACAAGAATGTTTGAAGATTCTTAGAAAGGCATTGCAAGTAGATAGTTGCTTCATTTGATATTTATGATTATTTTTATTGTATATGTATATAGTTCTAGATGTAAAGTCACTTACACAAACAAGATAGTATATATCAATGCTAGTTTATTATAAAATGGTTGAGCTTAGTTTTGTTTTCTACCAACAGGTTATAAATTAGATGTGTATAACTATAAACAAAATGACAAAGAAATTATTGCATTGAAAGCCAGATTTTTGTCCAAAAAAAAAAGAAAGCCAGATTCAGATACATTTGCCAGCGACGGAAAACCGTCGCAATATCCATTAGCAACGTAAATAGCTATCGCCGAAAGTAATGTCAGTGCAAAGCAAATATTTCGTCGCGAAATGTTTATGTTACTGTGACGGAATTTTCGTCGCCGAAACCTCGTTCTGCGACGAATAGTTCGTCGCCAAATCTTTCTTTTCAGCGACGACACACATATTCGTCGCGGATGCCAGTATTTGGCGACGTATCCGTTCGTCGCAAAAGGTTCACTCTTCTGCGACGGGAGGAATTTTCAGCGACGACGAACGTTTTTTCGTCGCAAATACCTAAAGGCGACGCGGTATACGCGACGGAGCTCAGACGTCATGTGCGACGACAACTTTCATCGCAAAAGGTTTTGGCGACGAAGTTTTGGCCTTTTAGCGACGAATTCTGCCGTCGCTAAAAGTGTATTTTCTTGTAGTGGGAGCCGAGCGCCTGCCTTACGCCTAGCGCCTTTTAGAACCTTGAAAAAGAGTATTGTTTTTGCCTTTTCATATATAGTTTACCACCACGGAGAAATAAAAGGACTTAAAGAAAAAAATTGACACTCCTGAACCCGTTTAATCCGCATGTGTACGGTAAGTTGGCCTGTTCCACAGAGGAAAAAGAAAAAAAATTGACACTCCCTACTCTACCCTTCCTACAAACGCTCCTGGAGTAGGGAATTTGAAATGGGGGAATAGTTTTTTCTCTCTGCGATTATATGTTTTTAATTTCAAAAGATACAATAAATGTACTTAGTGTGATTGATTATGATCTTTGCTTTTCTTAAAAGTGGTCATGGTTCGAATCCTAGTAAGTGTCTTTTTTAATGAATAAAAAAAAGTAATTGTGAAGACCATAATGTCCTTCCTACTTTCACTCTGGATGCAAGAAATTTGAAATGGGGCTTCAAGTTTTCTCATTTGGCTTTTATTTATTGTGTAGATAGATTCTCTCAGTTCTCTGCCACCGCACTTTCCAAACAACTGTGAGAGGAATAATCAGCCTTGCAAACTTCGCCATGAGTACTTGATAAAACGCCTACACTCAAATAAGCTAAAAGTAGGTTCTTGGATACAGGATGTAGAAGCCTTCCTTGAAAATAATTCCACATTGGTGTTGCAAAAAAGAGGGGGGAAAATTAAGTAAGCTTATTAAAAATTTTAATATTTTTTTTAATAATTATTGTTATGACACATGACATTATTTAAGATAAAGAATATCACTAAACTAAATTTAACACAGATTTTCTAAACATTATGCTCAAAATAAATGAGTAAACTAAGAACAAATAATAAATCATACATTTTAATATGTAATGTGTTTCTTAGTATTTCTATAACTGAAAAATGAATGTGATATTATTATTTGAAAAAAATAAGTAGTTAATCACATAACTAAAAAAATTGAGAAGAATATAGAATCAAAAGTTGATAAACTTAATTTGCATACTTAAAAATTATAACTTATAAAACAAAGTATGAAGTACTTAAAAGTACAACACTTACAAAACAAACTAGAACTTTGCTACGGTGACTTGCAAGTCATCATGATTTGGACAAAAAGGTTGACCTCTTCATTGATTTGGTCGACCTCTTTAAATAAAATGGTCGACTTGCTTACTGGAATGGTCGACTAGATGTACTATTTTACATTATAAAATGTTCAGCCAACGGTCGACATCTTCCACGAAAATCTCGACCACTTTACAAGAAAACGGTATGCCACTTCCACCAAGCGGTCCACCGCTTTCAACAACCGGTCAACAACCATTGTTAGTGATTGCATCATATATAATTAGAGTCCGATAATAATACATATGTTTTCTAGTAGGCTTAATAGCATTCTGTACCCCTTTACTATGATAAATTAACAAACGTACCCTTTTACTAAATTTTTGCACAAACAGGCCCATCTAATATTAAACCGTCATAAATTTATCCTTCCGTCTAATTTCTGTTAAGTGACCGTTAAATGAGTTGGAAAATGACCCAATTGCCCATCATTTACTCCTAATTTAGTTTTATGTTCCAAATCAATTAATTAAAAATATGAAACCCTAGAGATACTAGAGACTGTCGGACTCCCCTAAACTCTCCCATATGGTGATCAGAAGCTCAACTTGGCGGCGGCACCTACTTTGACATCTCCTCGCCGACGACTGGAGTAGAGAGAACCGGCGAGACCATATGGCCATCTTCCTAGATTTCCCACGATGTTCCAACGCCATAAGTACCTCCCTTTGATCACACTAAAGGGGCCACTTCCTCGGCTTCGCCCGACATTGCGACGCCAACTTCCTGGATTTTCACGAGACTTTCCTACGCTAGAGCTTCCCGTCGATCCATCTGCTCGGCTGCCACACCTCTAATCGGCTTCTGTCGTCGACGACTGTGGCAACGCTTCCTCCGAGTAGAGGACAAAGTCAATGTTGTGAACGTCTAAATTCATGGTGATGCTCATTATTATTCTTGTTACTACCTATCTAGTGACGACGAATGCCAAGGTGTGAGGGGGCACAGAAGGAAAACGAGAGAGAGAGAGAAAGAGCATAAGAAAATGAAAGATTAAGCAGCAGAAAGAAACAAACCAGATTCATTGACTGATTAATGAATGTTCATCCCAATTGCAGAACAATGTAAGGGGAATAAATGCTTGAGCTATAAAAAAAGGTTATCTTACGGCGAGGAAGACAACATCGAAAAGAGGTTTTTTTTTCTTTTGTCTTGGCCTATAATCTGCATAGAAATTTGGTTGCTCACAAGTGATAGGATATTGCATTACTACAAAAAAAATTTCGTATTGTAGTCTCCTATTGTCCATTATTTTCATAATGTAAGTATAAGATAACTTTGTCCTTTGGGTGACCGTTCGTGAAAGCGGAGATTGTTCGCCGGAAGAGGTACGTAAACCATTTTGTCGAAATCGATATACTGTTTTGATGAAAGCGGTCTACCTCCTCCAACAAGCGGGTGTAAGTTGAAGATTTATCAATCAGTCAATGAATCTGGTTTGTTTCTTTCTGTACCTTAATCTTTCATTAGGTGGTAAACCATTTTCTTGAAAAGTCTTTAAATGGTCGACCTATTTAATCAAGTGGTCGACCACGTTTCAAGAAAATGGTCTAGTCCTTCCACCAAATGGTTGACTTGATGAAGCACTTACCTTCAAGTGACCGACGTCTTGCATCATGACGTCGACCTATTCCATCAAGTGGTCGACCACGTTTCAAGAAAATTGTCTACCACTTCCACCAAGTGGTCAACCATTTTCAGGAAAATGGTCGACCACTTGTAGGTAAGTATGGCATCAGGTCGACCATTTGGTAGAAGCGGTAGATCATTTTTTTGAAAAATGGTAGACTACTTAACAGAGAAGGTCGACCGTTTTCTCCAAATTACGGTGACTTGCAAGTCATCATAGGCATACCCAACAAACTATAATGCCCAAATTAAACAAATTAGGTAGAAATGGTAGAAAGATGGTCTTTAAGCTAACAAGTTAAAAAACAAACTATCATGCTCAAATTTAACTAACTAGTAAGAATGGTAGGAAGATGGCCTTTACACTAATAAGAAAGAAAAACGGTTAAAAACCAAACTCTACTGCTCAAATTAATAGGTAAAAATGGCAGTAAGATAACCTTTAAACTAACAAGATAGAAGACAAACTATCCTGCTAAAATTAAAACAAACTAGGTAGAAAGATGGCTTTTAAGCTAACATGTTAAATAACCAAACTATATTGCTCAAATTAAAGTAACTAGGTAAAAATAGTAGAAAGATGACTTTTAAGCTAAAAACTTAAAAAAGGTAAAAAAAAAAAATTTGGCTTACTACAAGAATTGAACCCAGACGCTCAGCGGGAGAAGAAACAATACTTTTTACACTAAAAAATCAGCAATTTTAATGTATCAATTCATTGCTTTACAACATAATATTCAATTTATCTGTATATATATACATATATATATATATATATATATATATATATATATATATATATATGGGGAGTTCTACGGTACCCCGAGTGAAATTCGGGGTACCGCATACCTTGAGTAAGAAAACGCTATCCAGAACTTGAATTGACTGATCTTTCGGACATGATACTATACTCTAACCCTTAAAGATGGGGATGATGCAATTGAGGCGCAGGAGCCGTCGGAGGACGCCAAAGTGTTCGTCGGTAACTTGCCGTGCGATGTGGATAGTGATAAATTGGCTATGCTCTTCGAGCAAGCTGGAACTGTACAGATTGCTGAGGTTTGTTTCGATGGATTACTTCACCTTTTTTACTGGGTTTTAACTTCTAATTTGCATCTTTGTGAAATCTTCTTTTGTCTTTTGTTTGTTGGCAGGTCATTTACAACAGGGAGACTGATAGCAGCCATGGTTTCGGATTTGTGACCATGAGTACTGTTGAAGAAGCTGAGAAGGCTGTCGATAAGTTCAACAGCTATGTAAGTTCACCGTTTCTTTGCCATCTGTTTTTGACGATTGATTGCTGGTATGGGGCTGAGGATAGTAGTGTGAGAATGAAAACTGTGGAAGGGTATTTAACTGATAGCTAAACAGTTTGGGCCTCTGTCAGTTGCATTGAAAGATTGAGTCTTTACTGCTGAAATTCGATGAATGTAAGCTTTGAGATTGATAATCTTGTTGGGTTGGCTGGAATTAGCGAACTTATTTGCAATTGAGCATTTTTGCTTTGAATTGTTAATTTTTCTCTCAACTGGTACAACTCTTGTATCTTCCAGCTAGAGAGGTTCGGTTCATTGAAAGTGTGTTCTTAAACAGTTGCTTGAAGTAATAAGTACTTTCACTTTCTGTTCTATACTACTATGCTGCATTTCAGTGAAAGGTGTTATTGTGTGGAATGTTCCACTCAGCCATCATTGACTTGTCTTTATGTTAGTAGGATATTCACGAACTTTTGAACTAATGGCATTCCTCTCTGAGCAAGCTTGGTTTGATATACCTTCAACTGAGTTCAACTTGGTGATGTACACAGGACATGGGAGGGAGGTTCTTGACAGTTAACAAAGCTGCTCCCAGAGGATCAAGGTTGGAGCGGCCTCCCCGTGTGTTCGAACCTGGTTGCAGAGTCTACGTTGGGAACCTACCATGGAGCGTCGATGATTCTCGCCTCGAGCAAGTCTTCAGCGAGCACGGCAAGGTCACAAATGCTCGAGTAGTGTATGACAGGGACATCGGCCGCTCACGTGGGTTCGGGTTTGTGACAATGGCTGATGAGACGGAGATGAACGATGCCATTACCGCTCTTGATGGACAGGTATATGCATCTGTGCATTTACGTGATATCTTTTGCTGGTACTTTGTAGACTGTAGTGATAAAGAGTGAGGTTCTTACTACTGTTTCTCTTCCTTTATGCAGTTTCTTGATGGGAAATGGTTTCCTGAAAGAGAACTGGAATTCAATTGACATACCCTTGGTTCTGTATGTCCTTCATCCGGCATCACGCAATCGCGAAACAACCCGGGGACTAGCAGGCGTCATCTCCCCAAGCTATAGTGAATGGTTTTCTGCACAAGTTATGTTCCATTGACTGATGAAATAGTTCAGGTGAATGTCTCGCGGGGGCACTCTATGTAGACATCTGTTGTCCGAGACTGTAACGATGTTAGGTTTCCTTGAATTTGTGTGGATATAGTTGTTATGTCAGCTCTTTGTATGTCCACATTGCATCTGGGATCTGGCAGGAAACCCGAACATTGGTTTAGACACAATTACTTGATCCGTAACATGATGGAAACCTCTGTACTGTTTCACTCAATATGTCTAGGGGCTCATAAGTGTGATATAATAAAACATTGTTCCCAGGATAGTATCCCGAAAGGAAGTCAAGTATACATATAGTTTACTTCCACTGTTGTGAAAAGCAATCAAGTCACATCTACTAATACTAATTTGTTCAAAGTACCATGACTAATTTAAATTCATATTTTACATCAAGCACCCCTCAAAAAGATACTAAACTTACAAAAGATATTAGTGTTCACATATCCATTACGCTTACAGAACAGGAGAGATTACAGATAGGTGGACCATTAATAACATTAATCCGATCATATTAATAATACCCAATTGCTACTTAGTTATCTAAAGGCAGGAACAACTTAACCAAGAATAGATCAAAATAATTGCCCACGTTGTTCCAAGGACCGATTGTGACCATGGATGCATATGACTTGTCACCAATCAAGTTGAGAAGTGTAACATAGTCGGCATTGTCAATCTCAGAAGGACTGACTACAGAAGAAATGATTCTCCGTAAGTATGATGATGGGAACACGACCTCAACATCAGTAATGTCATCTTCAATGGTCAAGTGAATCAAGTATACTCTCGATGCATCACACCAAGATCTCCTCAGCTCTGTTACAACGCCAGAGAAAATGTACGAAGTGCCCTTATATAATGCAAAAGATGATGATTTGCAAAAAAATAAACAAATCAGATGCAAATCAATCACAGAAGAGATAGAGAAGGATAGATAACAAACGTCTTATCTTACTCACCTGATCATCACCATTCAATTGCTTTGGGATTAGATCTATAGTTTCAACGGTCTCAGACATTGCCACGTCATTTTGATAATTTAGATTCGTAACAAAATCATCTCCAAAGGTAAAAAACCTATAATTTAGATTATTAGCAATTGTATTAAGTAGTTATGAGAACACAAGAATATGGTTTATTATGAGTTGGTTGGGAAACCATTACTTACGGGTTCCATTCAGGTATGTTGTCCATCTCAAATATATGTCACACTGATTTCCTTCTGCTCAACCACTATTTTTGGAAGTATCTGCCATTTTTAGAATCATAAAAACAAACTATGTTAGTTGTTGTTTGGGACCACAGTGCATATTACTTTTGCAATGTTGAATTAATAACCAATTCGTATTTCAATTGCAAAAAACCAAAGAGACTCTTATCGACTATATCAAAAGAGGATATTGTTCCGACACTAATCAAATAATCATGTACAAATGAAGAGAAGACACATCATGGCCAGGGCAAAATCAAAATAAAAGGGTGTTCGGACAGCAAACATGTGGTACAACTACAACTGGCACACGCAGCGATGGGAAACCTCCAGATGGGATGGAAAAATCGTTTCCAGGAGAGTTGTGCAACCTATCAGTGCAACCTCAAAATTGAGCCTGCTTTGTAATACAAAGCTCAAACAAAATCCAGCACACAGCTAAAGACGTCTGCAACAACTAAGGATTTTTCCAGATTCAGTTTAATCGAATCAATGCATAAAAGTTAAATCGAATCAAGAAGAACTAATCATGTCCCTTATTTAAATAGATGAAACCACATTGTATCAGAAGCATGGAAACTAACACACCTGTGGACTGGAGCTTCTCAGAGGCCTGATAAACCTTCGCTGCTGTTGATGAGAGGAAAGAAAATAAAATGAGATGCTGGCAAAATATTGAGAATCAACTCTTGGGGATTAGAATATTGTCGGCCAGGCAGATAGGAGGACAGCCAAACCCGACCATGCAATGAACCAGTCTCCGATTGATGTCTTCGCCGGGAACTGAACACGGGCGCTGAACGGAAGAGGAAGCGGCAAAATCTTGAGAATCAACTCTTGGGGATGCGAATAGTGTCGGTCAGGCAGATAGGAGGACAGCCAAACCCGACCATGCAATGAACCAGTCTCCGATTGATGTCTTCGCCGGGAACTGAACAGAGGCGCCGAAGGGAAGAGGAAGAGGAAGCGGAAACGTTTTGTGTTTGATAGACTGTATTTCGATGGTTTTAAGTGAATGTGTGTTCTGGCCGGCCAAACCCAACTAATGGGCCTCTATCAACAGACCAGCCTTACAACTAGCTGGCCAACCGGGAGAACGCGCCTGCTGCACTGTTGGGCCTCTTCGGTGGTCGTAATATTGGTTGTTTCTTATCACAAGCCCTCAACTGCAAAAAGAGTTCTTCAATTCTTCTACTCGTCGGGCCCTAATTAGACAGAACTCTAGGCCGACTTCGATGGAATGGGCCACGAGAAAGTCCAATTATGGTTTGGTGTTTCCCAATGGACACCGCCACTATTATTTAGGTAAGTGAATGTGTGTTCTTCTCCATTTATCGATGTGGTAGAAATAAAGAATAATGTATGCTCTTCTTCCATGTCCAATTGTCCATCCAATTAGCTTCTTGTCTCCTTTTCCTTCGAATTGGTCTCATGGAGAATGATTTTACATGGATTGGGTTAGTGATATTGGCTGAAGATTTTAACTAATAAGAAAGCCTTCACTATTCTTATCAGCTCAAGTTCCATTCTTATAGTTTGTGTTCTACGCCTTTATATATGGTGCCCAATTAGACATTTACAAAAAAATTACAACCCCTAAGGCAATAAAATATGGACATAGAATTATATAATTGATAATTGAACCCTAAACCCTGAACCCTGAACCCTAAACACTAAACCATGAACCCTAAACCGTATACACTAAACCCTATACCCTGAACCCTGAACCCTGGACCATGGACCCTAAACCCTGGACCCTAAACCCTGAACCCTATACCCTAAACCCTGAACCTGAACACTCAACCCTGAACTCTGAACCCTAAACCCTAAACCCTGAACCCTGAACACTCAACCCTGAACTCTGAACCCTAAACCCTAAACCCTGATCCCTAAACCCTAAACCCTGAACCCTGAACCATAAACCCTAAACCCTGAACCCTGAACCCTGAACACTAAACCCTGAACCCTGAACCCTGAACCATAAGCCCTAAACCCTAAACCCTGAATCACAAATTTCCCATACAAAACTTTCACCACCAATCTGTAGAATTCGAGCAAACTCAACCTAACCAGTTATTTAGTGAATCTGTATAAACCCGAAGTTGTGGGCGGGTATCCACGGGTCGATAGGGATGGCAATGGGGCGGGGGCGGGTACCTCAGTTCTTGAACGGGTTTAAACTCAAATCCTAAGTAGATCTTATATCTTAGATTTGTTAATGCTAACACACCAAGTTCATATTTTGATATTGCACACGATTTCCACGTGTACCTATACATTGATATCACATCGTACATACTTGATACATGGTCTAATGTGGGTTTTTAGGTCAAAAACCTTGAACAATAGAGTATTAATCTAATGAACTTATACGAAAAAAGAACCTCGTTTATATGAGAGGTAACTTTAAACAATTTTCTAGATACTTAAATTGAGGACATAGGTTTAGAATTTGAAAAAAAATAAAGAAACAATGAATATAAATTTTCATTCCCCCAAACTATCCCGCCATTTATTTGTTTTGGATTTTCCCAAATCTTGAACCAAATAAAAAGATTTTCCCACCAAATCATGAATTTATTAATTTATGCAGCTTTGAAATAGGAAAGACTAATTAAACCACAAAGAAAAAGGCTAAATTACACATTTGGTCACTCAAATTACATAATTCTTTCATGTTTGCCACCCGAATTACTTTTCTTTCATATTAGCCACTAACTTTACGATTTGTTTCACCGTTAGTCACCAACCTTCAGTATTCATTAAAATCCTTTAACACCGTCAATTATCTGATGACATGGCAAAAGAGAGTGCTGATTAGACTAACAAAAAGCTAAGTCACACAAGTTGACCATCTAGTCAGCCTCAATACCCAACTCATCTCCTAAATCTTCCTCCTTCGTTGTCCCCAACCTAGATTTCCAATCTAAGAGTCGCGTCCCCTGTTCTACCGCCACCATTGCCTTGCCGCCATAGAACCCGACGTCTCCTCTCCTCTCACACTCAATTTCCTCTATTATTAGTAAAACCTTTCCCTTTCCATATCCCTATCCCTAATCCATCACTTCGAAACATAAATCCCCAAAATCGGTAGAAGGAGAACGGTGGCGAAAAGTACCACAAGTGGCGAATTAGCTTAGTCAAGAGTTCATCCTCGATTCCGCCACCGTCTTATTGCGACTCCCTTTCCCACCTGGCTCCGACCCTCGTTGGAATCGCCGGCCAGATTTGAAAGCTCTGGTTTCTTCCTCTCTCGATTGGAGGCGGCTTCAAGGGGAAGGGGAACTGTAAGTTAAGCGGCGAGGCAAGGGGAATCGAAAGTGGCGCGGCCGTGGTTTCTGTCGTTGTACATGGGAATTGAAGGCGGCGGAGCAGTCTGAAAATGCAGTGTCGACCCTATCTGAATTGTTCTTGACTACTACGCAGAGTCGAATTCGATTTGGATTCAAAGTCCAAACGTCAATTTGGGAGTTCTGGGTAGAAGAAAAGACCATTGTGGCTAGAATTGTAGACTTGAACTGCTCCCCGCAGAGCGGACCCCAAGCTTTCAGTTAAGCGAAGCTATTCAATCTTGTCGCTGTTCTGATTTGGATTTTTTGGGTGAACTCGATAATTAGATGGAATTGTTGGTGGCGATGAAGATTATGTTTGCGACGATGATCATTTGTGGCGAATATGGATAATGGTGGGACTGATTATTATATTGTTGTTTGGCTATTGATTATTGATTCTTGTTGCCTATGATGATTACTTGTGGTGGCAGTGGATTATGTTGTTGTTGTTAATTTTGCTTTTACTCGGACAAATTGGAGAGGATGCGTGGGTGAGGCTCGGTGAGAATGAATGGTAAATTATTATTTTATTATATTTTTTAATTTACATGTCATTAAGTTAATGGTACAGTCAGGAGTTCCGTTTGCCACGTCATTACAAAATTAATGGAGCTAACAGAATATGACGGAGATGGCCGGTGACTAACGCTGAAACGAATCGTAAAGTTAGTGGCTAATATGAAAGAAAAGTAATTCTGGTGGCAAACGTGAAAGATTTATATAAATTGGGTGACCAAACGTGTAATTTATCCCAAAGAAAAAAAAGGAAAGGCTTGACCGGATGGAACACGATGTCGTACAGGACAATAGAATGAGGGTAACTTTATCTTCCTCATTCGCATCCTTCAGTCTTCCTCAGATCCACCCACTTCCTCACCATCGTTCCAGTGCAAAGGCTAACGAAACCAGCACGAAAATCCCAAATCCTACCCTAAAAAAACGACAATCCAAAGATGGAGCTCCAAACAGAACCGCGACGGAACGCGTGCTCGGACTCGCCCAGAAGGTCCTGTTCGCTCTTCCCTCTCTGCTCTCTCGATTCCATTATAGCTTGACGATTTTGGTTTCTCATTTCATTTCATTTCATCTTGGTTGGCAAGTTGTTCGGATTGCAATCATGTTAGGAACATGCACGGCCAAGGCCTCAACCAATCCCCTCCGTCGCTCCTTCTTCATCAATCCCTCAAGCCCTAAGTCCAATATAAGCTCTCCGTTGCCGTCTTTCGACTCCGGCGGCGTCGCCGTCTTTCGACTCCGGCGGCGTCGCCGTCTTTCGACTCCGGCGGCGTCGCCGTCTTTCGACTCCGGCGACGTTGCCCTGGCTGCCGGTACATAGCATATGGCTCGGAACTGCTGCACCTTCTCGCCATTGAGGGAGCTATGGATAGGGGAGTTTCTCTGAGCAGGCATACTTTCGCCATTGTCCTTCTTCCGCTGCTGCTTCTGAGTGAGTTCCCAGCTTTAATTTATTGAGTTGTAATGTGGGTTCTTGCTAGTTAGCCCGATCTATGAGTTTTCATGGACTGCCGTTGCAGTTGTGGTTAGATGGGTATGCTTAGCTTTATGTTTGGCTGGGGTTCTGATGGAATTTTCCTGCAAATTTAGAAGCCGACCTTTTTCCTCGTAAAGATTGTACCTTGCATTGTCTAATTTGCTTTCCTTACACTTGTTGTTAATTTAGCTGCTTAGAGTTGAGAATTTGCTTTTGGCAGAAGGGTTTAAGTAGGTTTGGGGTTTTGACTTCTGTAATGAAATCAACTTGTCAAAAGCCTGATAATTTCGAAGCCGTTTTGGCGATGTGTTGCAATAATAGAAGTTAAAGTTGAATACTTTGATCACTGGTGTCTAGTTCATTCTTTGTTCACCACTTAGATTGGAATCTTTTAATGGAAGGCATGGATAATGTTCTGCTTTTGGGGAGAACGAGCCAGTTTATGGAACCTTGTTTCTACTAATTAATTGTCTGTTCATTTCGTTATTCGATGGCCAAATCGTAAGTAGGCTTGAATTTGTCCTGACATGAGAGTTTGTGATCATGGCTAGTGTAGGTTTTGAAGGATGCAATTCCATGGAACCTTTGCTCCCAGAGTTATCTCCTAAGGCAGCTCCTCAGCCATTTCTTCCTCTCCTGGCACCTTCCCCTCTAACTCCTTTCACAAAAAACACAATTCCACGACTATCAGGTTTGGATTCGGTCTTACTCAGTAAACCATCACTTATTGCCTTCCAAATTTGGACCGACACCATTCTTTCTGACTTGCTGCTTTCTGGTTCTTGCTTACTTACCAGGAGAGTGTGCATTGAACTTTACTGTCTTAAGATGGCTTGCTAGTAAAATGGATTCTTCAAGAGCAAAGGAGGTTCTCAGGGGGCTTACCAATTGCAAAGTGAACAAAGGTAATGTGGGAGATGAGGTTTTGTTTTGTTTTACACTGGGCCAATTACATAAATGTTCCTCAGGCTTTGGAGTCGCTATCAAATTAGTCATTAACTTACCATTCAAGGTTGCTAAGAATCGAAGTTCATGACCGATTTTGTTAGTACCCCATACTTCAGATAGGCCCATTTTACAACTTTCAACTGTAGAAGCATTCATTACCCTTCTGCTTTCTTTGCTGCAGTTTGCCCTCTGGTTTTCCCTGACATGAAACACGTCACCAAGGAATGTAGCAACACCATGCGAAACCAGACAGAATGTCGTCAAGCCATGGAGAGCTATGTGTCTCACTTACAGAAGCAGAGCCTCATTACAAAATTCAAATATCAACGCTTGCTATGAAGCCATGGATTGCTCTACAACGCTTGCTATGAAGCTGCGAAATTCAAATATCACAAGTGATATTTATAGCCTTTGTCACATAACTCTCAAGATTTCTCACTCCAAGGTTTGATTTTACTCTGACCAAAGTAGAAGTGTTCTAAGCTCCATGAGTTTCTGATAGCGCATTGCTAACACAAGGTTTCTTTTTGGTAATTTTCACCATGTGATGGTTTTGTGGATCGACCAACCATTCTTCATGGATCAGTTGCAAGAGAAGGTAATTTTGACTCTCTTGTTTGTAATTACTTTGATGAGTGCAGTTTCTTCCTCATGAATTGACTCATTGAACTTGTTATCTAACTTTACCTGGGCAGAATCTGGATGCCTTCTGCCAAGTTTGCCCTCTGATGCAACATTTTTAACCAGTCTTTTGGGATCAGCTTCATCTGTGATCTGAAAAACAATATTCCAGCGCCATGGCCCATTTCTTCACAGTTATCAGCATCGTCATGCAATAAAAGTACGGTTGACTAGTCACTTTGGGATTGGATCTATCTTTTGGTTCATAGGACATGACACTTTGGGGTATCACATACCCAGGGTGATCTTTCACCGTACGTGTGATCTCAACGGCTCCTGATTTTTCCTCGTTAAATCACTTATTAATTATAACAATAATTACCAAAACCCTCTTACAATATATAAATGTTTGCAATTTAGTCTAATTAATTGGTTTGGGTGGGTGAAGTGATTTTTTGGATTGATCTTTTGATTCAATTAACCAACCCCAATACCCAACCAAACCCACGTCCCTGGAGAACTAAAGGACACCTTCCACAGACCATCCCTAATTCCCCCTTCTTCTTCTTCTTCTTCCTCTTCCTTCTTCGTCCCGACTGTCCCTCCACCTTCATATTGATTCCGCCCAGATCATCCTCTCCTCCACGATCCTCCCCAAAACCCTAATTCTACCCAACCGCCTCAAGAGCTTCGAGTCCAGCGTCGGCCTCGGCTGGAAGGCATTTCCATCCTGAATTCCCCCCGTCGTGGCTTCCGCTCCTCCCACTTCCACTCCCAACAGGAAGTGATCCTCTCCATCCTCTCCTACGGCGGCGAATGAATCCACTATTTCTTCGAGCTGGCTGTCCAATCGAGTGTAATCGACGGGAGGCACGCCAAGAGGTTGGGGGAAATCAGCGCCTGGGGGGAATTCGGAGATTTGAAAAAAATTGTGCCGCTATAATAGTGTCTTCAAGATTTGAAAAAATCCAATATCTTCATTTGAAATAGCATGCAACACTTCTGTATAGAATACCACAACGTCCATTGACTGCGAGGACTGGAATACGACACCTTGCGGACAGCGGTCCTGACATTACTACTCGATCTGCTACAAGAAGAAGCCCTTTGCCCTTTAGCCTTCAAGTCATTATTATATATGTAAGGTTGCACCAATAGACCACAGCAGAAAGAAATCCATAAACACATCTTCTACCTAGTTCAGCAGAAATGAAACTCCCACACTCAATAACATTTCTCCTCCTCCTCGCCATGGCGGCGGCCGTCCCAACTTCATCATCGAATTCCTCACCTATGGGCGGTCGACGTCACTTCGTGCTGGTCCACGGAGCTTGCCACGGGGCTTGGTCGTGGTACAAGATGTTGCCGCTGCTGACATCCGCCGGCCACAACGCCACCGCCATCGAATTGGCTGCTTCCGGCGTCGACCCGCAACAGGTCGACACTGTCCGAACAATTTCCCAGTACACGCAGCCGCTCATGGATTACCTGTCGGCTCTGCCGCCCACGGAGAAGGTGGTTCTCGTCGCCCATAGCTACGGCGGGTTCGCGGTGGCTCAAGCCATGGAAATTTTGCCAGGTAGAATTTCTGTGGCGGTTTTCGTTACAGCCTTCATGCCGGGCCCGGCCTACCCTTCCGCTACCCTTTTCCGCGAGGTATTTTTATTATAATTGTACTAGTGTGGGCCCCGGTCAGTTGGCCGGAGGAAGGTGAGTGTATGAAATTTGATAATATAATGAGGTGTATAGCTTATTGTTGTATAGTTTTTTTTTTTTTGGAAATTCGTTATAAAAATAGTGAATTTTAGCAGGAAAGAGACATGAATGATGCAATGAATCAAAAATCGGCCTTATGAACAAAAATCAACTACATGTTAACTTGTGAAACAATATTGTTTCTGGTAATATGATGAGGTGGAGTAAGTTTTATAGAAACCGAATTCCAGAAAATCGAATAAAAAATCGCCTATCTCGTCGGTTTTTAGGAAATGAGCATCTCACAATCGTTGCTAGCTTTTACTCGGCCCGTTGGTCGATTAATTTGCTTTATAAAACTTTCATCTTGTCGTCATTGTGCTTTCTGGTTTTTGTTAGGCCATGATAAAATCTAAGGAAATCAAGAACAAATGACACAATTTGGGATAGGAACCGCCGTTGTCGTATCCCTAGAAAATGGTGGTAAACACAGACTCACCTGCCAAACTGGTTTGGATTGAGATTTTTATCGGGTATCAGGAAACCATGTGATTATAAATTAGACTTGATCTAAATAGGCCAAAACATGAAATTCAGCATGTTTGACCGACCCATGCCAAATTCTAATTATTCTTTACTTTAAAACTTTCTATTTGAAAATAAAAAATAGTGAAAGAAAAGAGATGACTGCAATTCGTCATTTGCACATCACCTATTCGAGAATAAAACCATAAAAATTCAAAAGTAACTGAAAATGTTTAGGATCGCTTTCATGTTTAAAATAACCAAATAGATCGTTCTTTTTAGTTTTTTACTAACAAATACCAAACGATTCCCTATAAAATACACAATAATTTGATCATTATGATATCAAATAATTATATAATATATATTTGAAATTAGGGATGGCAATTTCGACCTGACCCAATTTACCCTACCTGTTTGACCTGTTTTGGAGCAGGTCAAACCCGCCCCGTAGGCGGGGCAGGGCGGGCATGGGTACCTCTCATTGACCCGACCTACCCTGACCCGCCCCATTCTCGTCCCGTTCTTGCCTATATTACATACAATCTTAGTCAAATTACTTAGGATTTTCCTCTTATTGCATTATATTTTAGCTATAATAAAGTTGTAATTAAGTGAAAACCTCAATTTCTTCAATAATTTAACTACATTTTATCATATTATGGTTTCTTTCTTGGTCTTTTAATGTAAATAACGAATGTTTCTAATGTTTTTCGCATAATTACATACCCAACGGGTCGACCTGCCCCTACCCGCGCCCCGTGATAAATTACCCGACCTGCCATGCGGCGGGTATGGGTATCGAGATACCCGCCCCGGACCTGCCCCATTGCCATTCCTATTTGAAATGATAAAAATTGGACTAATTGGGTTGGTCGAGGTTGAACCATTGAATAACTTTAAAATACATTATATTTTAGCCACTAAGATATAAAATAATAGCATAATATATATTATGCTAGAGAAAATAGCTTGTTTTAGAATGGCAAACCAATGATGTTCATTTGTTTTACTTGATGGCCAAATCCCGTGTAGGTCAGACCCATTCAACTCTTTTATTTTATGGTTAGCAGTTAGCCCATTAGATACCATGCATTAGTTTATTGTTAAATTTTTTATTTTAGCAATAAAAAGGAGTATTGTTTTTGCCTTTTCATATATATTTTATCACCAGGAAGAAATAAAAGGGCTTAAAGAAAAAAATTGACACTCCTGGACCCGTTTAAATCCGCATGTGTACGGTAAGTTGGCCCGTTCCACAGAGGAAAGAGAAAAAAAATTGACACTCCCTATTCTACCCTTCCTACAAACGCTCCTGGGGCAGAGAATTTGAAATGGGGGAAGGGTTTTTTCCTCCCTGCTATTATATGTTTTCAATTTAAAAAGATACAACAAATGTACTTAGTGTTATTGGTTATGATCCTTGCTTTTCTTTAAAATGGTCATGGTTCGAATCCTAGTACGTGTCTTTTTAATGAATAAAAATAAGTAATTGCTCAAAGATATACTTGATTATGATGAGGTGCCCAAGCTATTATAGACTTCTTACAATATAATGTGTGATGACTTCATCATCCGCTGAAAAAATAGATTGTGTAATGAAATTTTCCCGAGTTTATATTTAATTTTTTGTTTCAGATTATTCTCATTATACGCTTACTCGAGAATTCAAGAAAGATGCATGCGTTAATTCAAAATAATCAAAGAGAATCGAAACATGTAGTAAAATGAAGAAGAAGCGAGAAATATTGTTTGCGTCATTTCCCCAATTATCAAAACAAGTGAGTCATAGATGTAGAACTTTCCAAGAAGAAGTACTTATTAGGTTTCTGTTTGTGCCACGACACCCGCCGCGTGTTACTGGGATCCTCCTTCCTCCCGACGCCTGCCTACACACACAAAGAGGAGGGCGCCTGAGCCCGTTAATCCTCCGACGCCCAAGTTAGTTCCCTTAGAGAGAGAAGTGCTCTTATGTAGAAATTTAGGTGAGAGAGTCCAACCTGTGTAAATGCTACCAACTGCCTCTATTTATACTCACCAAACTCGAGGTTGATCTCCTCCACGTCACTGCGCTCATTTAATGCTTCGTACTCCCCTTGTCAGGCACCCCAACCACCTTGTCAGGCTCCTGACACATGACAGGCGCCCCCAGGTAATGGACCACCAGCCAGCCTGGATTCCTTTGGCCTTTAGCGTTTTGTCTTCATGCGCACTTCCACTTATTTGGGCCATGAGGCCTTTTCCAGGGCCCCTTCTTGGGCCTTGCCCCCCATTCCTTTGTCTGGGAGCCCATATCCCTAACTGGCCTTGTGATACCCCCAACAATTGCCCCCCCAGTTAGGTGCTCATGGCTTCGCCTTTGAGCGCCTGACTGACCTTCTTGGTGTGTTTTGGTGTTCCTTTTGTTGCGGGACGCCCACTGTTGGGCGCCCTTCGTTACACTTCTACTTTTTGCATGGTTCGGAGGCGCTGCTCCAATTCCTTACTTGGCGGGCGTCCTGTCCTCGATGGTGCTCCTTGCTATATGTGTTTTTCTTTTCTCTGTGTTACATGGACGCCTCTTCATAGCATTCTTCGCTTGGGCGTCCCTAGTCCTTATGCCCCCCTCACGGGGAGAGTTTTGAAGCGAACCCCACATTTCTCGTGGCGGGAAAATTCGAAATGGAAAATCTCGAACGTTACAGAGAGGGAAAAGTGGGGGAAGCTCAAAAGTCGTCCCGTGATACAGACACGTGGCGTGTCGGCGCGACTCCTGACCTGAACTTTTCGCCTTCTATAAATACTCCCTCCTCCCGCCGTTCTTGTCACTTTCTTCCATTTGACTTCTCTCTAGATTTTGCTCTGACATCTCTCTAAACTTCGCTCTGCCCTCTCTCTTGTCAGACCTTGCTTGCGTCAGCCTCTTCTCTCGTATTCGTCCAAGATGTCGTCTTCACCAAAAGACAAAACTTCCGGCCGAGGCGCCCAGGGTGCAGGCGCGTCTGGTGCTGGTGCTTCCGGCACAGGCGCCTCAGGCGTCGGTGGCAGGGCAGGGCGCCCGACTCAAGGCGGTAAGGAGTCCTTTGTCTTTCTTCAACTTTGTTTAGTTACTTCTAGTTACTTAGGATAGGGCGTCACTTACCCTGCGTCGCCGTTGCGCCTGGATCATTTGTTGGTTTAGAGGGGGCGCCTGCGTCAACATCGGCTGGACCGTCCACATCATCGGCGCCCGGATTTTTGCCAGCGGATGGGTCTTACAAAATCTCAACATGGGAGAAGTGCTTCCCCCCGGACCATCTACCGACGGAGACAGCCCATCTGCCCTTCGATGTGGCCGGGCCGAATCATCAGTCATCAGTCACGTTGGCGCGCGTCCACGAACTCGTCACAAGTCTGCAACTGCCGCGGGATTGGTGGTATGCGCCTCCTTCTCCTATCTCTCGAGTGGGCGTCTGCGGGCCCAAGTGGATCGGGGTTTACCAGGAGTACTTCCGCTTTGGGCTGCACTTCCCCCTCGACCACATCATGGAGGGGATTCTGACGACCTGGGGCTGTTCGTTGGGGCGCCTATCCCCCTCCGTCATTACCATTGTGATCCTCTTCAAGTTGAGGTGTCGGGAAAATAACGTGGAGCCCACCTTCAACCTGTTTAGGTACTTTTTCAAGATGGCGCCCCTCGACAACTGCTTATCGCTTCAGAAGCGGAAGAAGCGCCCGAACCACTTCGTGAAACGATGCCCCAAGCTTAACCGCAAATGGTTCAACGGCTTCTTTTTTATGAAGGCGTACCAAGATTCGTTTTATGAGAGTGGGGGCGCCTTTCTTAGGCAGTGGGAGTTTGGCAACGTTGAGCAATTCAACTCGCCCGTGACGCTGACTCGGGCGGAGAAAGATGGCGCCCGCCTCATTTGTGCGGGGGAAAGCGTGGACTTGCGTCCTGCGGAGAATCGCCCTCCCATAATCCAGGCGTACTATAATGATGATTTGTAGGCGCCTAGGATTTACTTGCTTTTGATGTAGTGTTTCCTTTGTGTTCTGCCTAACCATGTTCTTTCCATTGTGTAGGGGCGGACTACTCAAGTATCGCAAAGCTGATGAAGAGTCGGCTTGCTGCGATGGCGGGCGGTTCACCCCCGCCTGTTCGCCAAGAGGCGTCTGAACCGGCGGCCGACCAATCACAGGCGCCACCAGCTCCTCAGAAGAAAAGAAAGAAGAGGGCTGTGAAGGGGGGCACTAAACGCGCGAAGACTGCCAGTGTGGCGTCTTCCGCCCCGGAAGCGGATGAGGAGGCGCCCGACTTCGATCCAGCAGATCACCCAGCGGAGCAAGAAGTTAACTCCACTGAGGAAGAGGAAGAGGAGCCACTGATCCACCGGGGGAAGAGAGCTGGTTCCCCCTTAGCCTCTGCCAGCAAACGGGCTGACAGAGGAAAGGGGAAGGCGGGCGCCGACGCTGACGCCTACGACGAGGTG